CCCCATTGCCCCCGCACCCCGGGCGGCCACCGTGGGAAGTGTCGGGGTGTGAATCAGGTTGTGCCACCCCATGTGGCATCACCCACACAGGGCACAGCCGCCCCGCGCTCCCCTTCCGGTGACTAACCCCGACTCGGGATGCAGCATTCCCAAGGACGGCTCCCCAGCCCCATAGGGAAGCCCGGGAGCCAAGGAATGGCATCCTATGCCTCGGTTTTCCCCCCGCCGCTGTCGCCGCAGCGCATTCCCTGCCGTCTCCCTCTTGCGGGAGGAAGGCGCAGGGCAGGGCCCGCGAGGCCGAAGCATGAGGAGGAGCGCGGAGGTGCCGAGCCTCATCCGCGCCTCCCGGGCGGGATAACGCTCCCATTCCCGGCTGCACGGAATGGGGCGGCYGGCCACAATCCGGGTGCTGCGGATCCAAGGGGACATCGGGCACCGCTCGATGCTGCTCCAGGAGCGAAGCTGGGCAGGGCAATGAGACGGATGCACCAAGAATCCATTTGATTTTTGCTCTCTGAGGCCACCAAGCGCAGGCAGGAGGAGAGGGGRACACGAGGGGACGCCAGCGCCTTAGTCCTGGTTTCTAGGACAGCGCAAGAGTTTGCATTTAACCGCCCCGATCTCCAAGGAGCTGGAGCCTCCCTTTATTTAGAACCGCTTCCCCGTCTCCGCAACCTCTTTTCTGCCGCTGGGGAAGGCAGGCACAGATCCGACGGCCGGGTTCCGCGCTCGGAGCGTTCCCAAAGCCAGGGGCCGGGAGCRGAAGGACACGGGCGCTGGCGGCGAGCCCGGCACCACCACACAGGCAGGCACTGATGCTTTCTGCTTTTATTCAATTAATGCAGCAATCTATACAAGAGGAAAAAAAAATAATAACAATGAAATCATGAAATTCCAAACCCTGACAGAGAAGAACCAAATTCTTCCTAAGAACCAGCCAGAATTAAAAGATTCCCCCCACGTCGGACTGTACATAAAATAATCTCTGCCCCCATTTACAGCGTTTCACACAGTACTTTTTGTATCCCAAACTTCAGAACTGTACAACTTTGTTACAAACCACGCTTTTTCCTAGGAAAAGCTTACAGAAAAAAATATTGCCACTTTCTTTTCTTTTTTTTATTTGTAACAACAGAAAAAAATTAGAATCTTTAAAAAAAAAAAAACCAAAGCTAAAGTGAGCCAGAACTGGTAAGTGTGGACAAGGGAGCGGGAAGGGGCAGACACATTCGCTTCTCAGCCTAACCCTTCTTCTCCACCTTCAATGGGGAACTAGCTGCGTTTGGCATAAAAAGGACTTTTTGCCCCAAAAGGTGGGTGCAAAACTCAACGCTCAGGCCCAGCTCTGCCATCGTCGAGGCGCTGCAGCCGTTTGGAGCCGCGGGCCGGGGCTCGGCCAGCGCCGCGGTTGGAGCGAGGGCGGCTGGTGCCGGCTCCGTGGGCTCCTCATCCGCGGAGCCAGCTGAGATCTTGGCAAAGGAGGCGGCTTCCCATAAGGAAGCGGCCTCTGGGTGCCAGGCCTCTGGGTGCCAGCTCGTGTGTGCGTCACGGCTCTTACCAAGGGCTGGACGGGAGGTGAGCAGGCGGGGAGGGCCGGCGGCGGCCACCGGCATTTTCCTGCCGCGTGCCATCCGCCCAGGCACAGCGGAAGTCGGCTCCGGGAATCCGGCCGCCTCAGCAAGGCAGGGATTTGCTTGCGGGCGCTGATCCGGGCGCCGCTCCCTTGCCAGCTCACCCCTCTCCGCCCCGCAAACAGCCCTTCCTCCTCGTGCCACGGTCAGGTGGAGCCCACGCGAGTTTCCATTTGATCACCGCGTCTTCCCAAGACGCAGGCAAAGGCAACAAAGCCAAATTCCTCCCTTTGCAAAGAGGGCCCAAGCCCTCGCCTACCTCCCGGTTTCTTAGGAAAGAAAAGTTCTTCCGCGGTGTGGGGTGCGCGGGGCTCTGCGGGAGCTGCGGCTGGTGCTCTGGGCAGGTTACACGGGCTACATGCGTGGAGCGCACGGGGAGGAAGCGGCACCGGAGCGGAGCTGCCTCCTGTCYGCCCTGCCCTCGTGTCCCCCGCCTGCGCCCAGGGCCCCCCGGGGACACAGACGGGACAGATGGAGCAGACAGGGGGACACCAGCATTCCGAGCTGTGGGTTTGCCAGGCAGGTTGCGGTGGGAGATCGAGACRCCCGGGGCCACGTGAAAAGCGTTATCTTCTGCTTTGGAATCAAGGTTTTGCTCTGATGTGGTTCAGTGCAAAAGTTAAAAAAAAGAAACCATGTATCTACACATATACATACGTGTGTGTGTGTATATATATTTATAAAATGTCTGTACAAGTGGGGAAAACGGCCTGCCTACGTACCGGGGCCTCCCAGCCCGCGAGACGCTTTGGGCCAGCCCCGCTGTGTCCCCCTCTCTCTCCAAGGATTCGAGGCCCGAGCAGTCAGTCGGCAAACTGAAAAGGCAGCGCAAGAGAAGCGAGCGCGAGCCCGGGACACGGCTCGGCCCGGCCCCGGGCCGAGGAAGGCAGGGCAGAGCGCCCCAACGTGCCACGCAGAACAAAACCACCACCCACGCAGGCTGCGGCGAGGCCACGGTTTGCGCCCGCCTCGAGGAAGGAGCGCGGGCACGCGGCAGTGGAGACGCAGCCAAGAGCCATCCCGCGGGATCGCGGCGATGCCGTCGCCTCGGGAGCTGGGGAAGGGGCCCCAAAGGGGCAGGCTGCCCCCRCTTTCACCAGCGTACAGTATTATCCGTATTGCAGAGGTAGGCTTAAGGAGGAGGAGCGGGGGGAGAGGAGAAGGGCGGGCTGCGCGTGGGCACCKCCGACGGAGCGGCCAACGCGGCCACCAGGCACCGAGCGGGTGGCGACACTGACGCCCCAGGACACGGGCCCCTCTTGGGACACAKCCAGACAGGCAGCCGGGAACAGCCATTCCCAGGCATCCTGCTGGGGCCCCAGCTTGCCAAGGATGTTTTCGGATGGCGCCGCAAAGAGGCAAAGGGATCGATGCTCCCTGCCGCTGCTCTGCCCGCGGGGGAACGCCAAGCTTCCCGAAACAGGGATTCCACAGCCAAGAGCTGGCCTGGATTCTCTGCAGCAAGCGAGGAGGGCAAGGAACATCCCATGCTAAGCGCAGCCTGAAAATAGCTTCTCTTTTAGAAAACARAGCAAAAGCACGAGCGTCCAGACCTGTGTGCAGAGGGGGCCGGGAGGCTGCTCYGAACGCGCCGAGTTCTCAGGCGGGAAGGCAAGCGGAGCAGCGGGGACCAAGGGCAGGGAGCGAGGGCCTCACGCACGAAACCTCCCGAGACGGCAGCGACTTCCAGGGCCCTGGCAGCGACGCGGCGGGAGCCCAACGCGCCCCAGACGCTCCCTGGCCGAGCGGCGGTGCTGCGGGATCGACGCCTGCGCCTCCTCTGACCGAGTTCCTCACGACAGCAGCAAACCGGTTTCAAAATATATTACATCTTTTTATTGCCAAGCGTGCAGACCATGAAGTGTGGGGAACACAATGCTACGGAAAACTACATTTTGAAGGAAGGCAAAGCAGTAAAAATTATTTTAAAATAAGACTACCCCTTATGACTGCCAACACTTGGGTTCAAAGAATCAACTYGAAGTTTCTTAAAAGTAGGGTTCTAAATATGGTGTTGGGCCCCAAGCTTTGAAAACACCGGGAACTTCAGGCCAGGGTAACACAAACCAGCTGGGAGGAGAAAAGCAAGAAGGGAGCCCTTCTCACATTAACTCCCCAGGGCCAAAAGCCTGATTCTTCTCAGCATTTCCCGCAGCATCCAGAAGACTCCGCCCCAGGAAAACACTCCAAGGGGGCACGCAGCCCTCTGCCGTGCGAGCTGCGGGATACACCGGAGCTGACGTTCCCTCCTGGGCCAAACCGGAGCCTTGTACCGCCCTACGGCGTCCCCGGAACCGGCCCTGGTGGGAAGGAGCGTGGCCGAGCTGCCCAGCAGCCCGGAGGCCACAGCCGCTCCCTGCTCTGTTCCAGGGGCTGGGAAAACAGAGCAGGTCCCTCGGGCCCGGACACTGGTGCCTCAAGCTGCTCCGCCTGGCAGGGGACCGCGGGCCTGTCCCCCGCGCGGTCAGGACAGCGCTTCCAAAGGGGCGCCAGGGCGGGCACGGCGTTTGCCCTGCATCTCCTCACTCCAGCAAGCAGCTCGTGTCCAACRCGCTCACTCACACAGCAGTCCCTGCGCTCCCATACGGACCCCAGGTCCCTGCCAGACCCGCCTGGAGGAAGCCAGCCAAGACACCGGCCTTCCTCCGTCCCCCACCAAAACACATCCCTGCTCAGCGCAGCACTGAGAAGCCAGAGTCCAGGTACATTCCTCGTGGAGAGGGCGCTGCAGGGACACAAGGCTGTGAGCCCAAGCTGGCTTGCAAACAGGGACTGGAAGTCTACGGCGTTTAAAACTGGTACTAAAGTGCAACAAAAATGTCCTAAACCTTTTGTAATCAATTGCAGAGGAAGGGTCTGCAAAGCTTCCAACTTCCAGTTACCGTAGGGCACCYTGAAAAAAAACAACCTAACAACAACTAGGTAAGAGCAGACCGAGGAGCCCTTTGGTGAAGCAAGAAATACGAGGCCACCACAGAGAATTTCAGCTCCTGGGGTCAAACATCATATTTAGAACATCTGAAAAGGAAGAAAGTTAAAGCAAAAAACAAAAATACAATTCTTGAATCTTGCGCAATGAAACACTTAAACTTTTTGGTGTTTTCAAAAAGGAAAAAAAAAATCCCAACAGACAGCCTGGCACAACGTTATCTGCTTCCTAAGGGAGAGATGCCCATTTGACCCATGACTCAGGACACCATGTGCACTGGACATGTTCCATCCTTCCGTATGTCTCAGCATTCCTCCATTCATAAAAACAAATTGCTAGATCCTTCCTGTTCATTCTTCAGCCTGAAAGGAAAAACCAAAACTGAAGCTAGATGGAAAATAGCCAGAGGGAGGAGAAATTTTTCACAGACTGGAGGCCAATCTCATCAGCAACGTGAGCCTGGAACGCGCATTCCTCAATGTCGCCTCATTTTAACTTTCCTGGCTGGACTGCCATCCTCCTCCTCTTCATCACAGTCCTCCGTGTATTCGTAAGACCTTCGCCAATAGTTCTCAGAGCTGAAGTTGCTCCGTCTCCTATGTTTTGGTAAGAGGACCGAGCGCCTGTTCTCTTCTTTATCCATTTCTAGAATCCGCGGCCTAAGGAAAGACAATGAGAGAGAGGSGGAGTAAGAGCACAAATCCAGGGAGGGAGGAAGAGCACAAATCCACGTCCACGTTTTCCTCTCGACACTGCGCTCTGGGTGCTCAGCTGGCAGACAGACCCCCCCACCCCTTCTTAAGGGCAGTTTAGGACCCCAAGACACATTCCTTGCACAGAAAGGTCCGTGTTTGTGTCTCTCCTTTAACCCGCCAACATGTCTGTAGGTCRGCTCAAACAACAGCTCCAAACTCCTTTGTCCTCTCGCCAGTTCTCTCCGACATTAGCGCAGCCCGGCCAGTATTTCTGCAAAGCTGCCTCTGTTCTCACTTCACACTAGGACAGCTCASACAGCATGAAACGCTGCACAAACCGCTTATCTTATTCTAGGCAGAAACTCCCGAGTTCCTCTAACACGCTGCTATCTGATATCAGTGCTATTGTTATATCATCTTGGAGGATTTTAGGCCAAAGGAAAGAAAAATGCTTCTTAATGGTCCTCATGGCTTCCATATACACAGAGGCCTGTGCACAGCCCCCCTGGATGAGGTTCGTGTCCCCCATCTCYTCCACATCAAGCTGAGAAGCTGTTCTCAGGCGCTGTCCTGCATGGAGGGAAGTTCTCATTTCTAGGCCAGCCTCTCTTCTCGCTCTGCGTTTCCAGCCCGAGTTCTGGWGAATGAGCACTGCTCATGACCACGAAACCCCCCGCCCTCCTCCCTCGCTGGGACAGGCTGAAACAAGGGCTGGGACTGTGCAGCAGCCAAGGCCCGGGCCTGAGCCAGCCCTTGGGTTTACAGGACGCGAGCAGAATGCGGTCGCCCTCCTCGGGAAGCCTCGGACGTTAGAGAATACCAGAAACGCTGCGTGACAGCTCAGATCTCAGCTGGCAGATTTGCTATCGCTCATGGTTACCAGTGCATTCATACAGAGAGCAAGGTAGTATTTAAACACTGCTCTTAAACGGAGCCTTGCTCCGTAGCTCCCAAACCTCAGCAAGGAGCTGCTTCAAGGTCAGGCTTATGCATTCGTGCAGTCTGGTTACACTAAAACAAACAAACAGAAGATCCACATGCAGCCCTAAACCCAAAACAGGTCTGAGAAGCTTCCCAAGAAGGTCTTCACCCTTCCTGGTTAGCAAAATCCCACATTCTCTCCACAGACTAGTTCCATAATGTGCTTCACCACAGCTGCACAGGTTGCCTGGCAATAGAGGTCAAAAATAATTAGCTGCAGGGAAACTATTGTTCTGAATGACTGCATTTATCGGGAGCTGGCCAAATCTATTGCTTCTTCATTATGCCACTCACAGGATAAACAATGTAAGCTGCTTACAGCCAGAGCTTAGTCTCCACGAGCCTAGAAGGAACATATAAAGAATCCCAGCCAAATACAACAGACCGGAGCGGCACAGAAAGTGCCTGGGAGGTCACTCCAGGTAGGATCAGACAGAAGCATCASAGCTCCCAGCAAAGCGGGGCAAAACAGGGTGTTTTAAATGCAATGTTCAGCCTCTCTTACTAGAGACCAGGAACCTCAGAGGTGTCAGGACCTAGGGGGCCATCCAACTTTGCCCTTAGGGAAGATCTTCCTACCTGTGGGCAGCATCAGGATCTGCTTTGCGATGGGACCGCTTTGGTTTCAGGATCTGGTCCCTGTTGCTTCCTGACAGGCGGTCAGAGGTGTAACCTGGTGGCAACACAGAGCTACTCAGCGATTTTGTTTCCAATCGAGGTGCATCTAGTCTTGTTCTGCAAATATTTAAAGAGAGAAAAAAATGCAAAGAGTTTCTGGAGAATCGCTACCATGCTGCAGTAGACATTTATCCTGAATGYACTGACGCCCAACCCTCAGTCCCAGCCACACAGCTCAGAAAGACGGTCAGGAATATGACACTCAACAGCAGCACAAACAGCAACTTTCTGATATTTAACTTTAACCTCTCCTGTCTTGGTTGGAGGGAAGCTGAGGGCTTTGGGGTCAGTGTAAGGCACAAGGTGAACCTGGAAGGGCAAGCACGGTGCTGAACTCGCTGCAGTCGCCGTCATGGGACACGGAGCAGTGCTAGAGCCCCCTGTGAGATTCCATAATTTGCAACTCCAGGTAAGCCACCCGGGAGACGCACTGCAAAACCCACCATCCCCTCCAACAGGAATAAACTGCTTCTACTTCCAATCTCCCTACACTCGGGAAGCCTCACGGGCGTCACGCGCTTCCCAGTTTGGCTAGGAAAGAGGTTTAAAATCAAGAGTCAAAGGACAAGCCACGAAGACGTCTTGCTAGCAGGAGATGCCCGCTGTCCCTTCCAACACCCCTGCACAGTCTCACACGGGAATAGAGACAGGTTAAAGCTACACCAGAAAAAGCACAGCCCACCCCAGGGCTGAGCTGCCTCCCTTGCTGGCTGTGGCCAACAACCTCGACACCCACAGGGGAAGAGGCAACAGGCCAAGCACCAAGCGGGCGGCAGGAARGACCACTTGCCAGCAGAGCATCTTCTAGCACCACGTCCAAGCGCAGCGCGGTTACCAGGCTCAGTTTGAGGCAGYGCTAGAGGCTCTTTCCAAAGGCAGAGAGAAGTCTAAGCACCACCAAATTAGAGCAAAAGGGGGTGCCCGTGTTTCAGAACAGCAAATTTCAAGAGGATCAAGCCATTTCCTGGAGGGAAAGTAGTCTGATGCTTCTCTAGCCTCACTCCAAGGARTTAGGGTGAACACCTAAGAAGTTGGGGTTCGAGAGGGGATGGAATCTCCTCTTTTGCTCTGGCCTTGAATTTTAGTATTTGTAGAAGTTTCCACCTGAGMAACCCAACCTAACGCCCTGTTAGGAGGCACCTGCTGGTACCAAGCAAGCTTCCTCTCTGCCATTCCCACCTGGGCAGCCCATTCCGTTAACAGAGCAGCTCCTGGACCAGCAACAACAGCTGGGCACCGCAGCCCGAGCGTGTCCAGGACACCAGAAATAAGAAACACTCCCGCAGCCCCCAGGCTGGAGTCCGTGGCTGCCCGCGACGCGCTCGCACGGAGCWGTGCCCAGGACTGCACAGAGCCCAGCTGAGCCACCACAGCACTGCAGATGCTGCCCTAGTCGAGCTGGGGCTTAAGCACCTCCCAAACATGATGACAACTATAGGCCTGAAGTGAAGAAAACCGTCAAATGGGCTGCAAGGGCAAGAGAACACAACCAAGAGCAAGACAGATACGAGCTACAGCAGCAGGTATTAGAATCAACTATCCTAAATGGAGAGGAAATTACCTACAAAAGTTCTAGATGAATAAAACAGGTCCCAGGTGTAATGGCTTACAARGAAGTGCTTACAAATGGCATCCCAAGACCTCTAAAATGACTTTCAAGATCGCTCGGATAGGTCTCGTTTCCRTCCCCACCTCCCACGTTACCTCTTTCAGCATCTCTCCGAACCAAGAGCATCRTTCCTTCCTCTCATCCCCCAGCTCAAAGCGCTCCCAAACCTCACTGGCTCCCTGCAGCCCTGCACTCTGGCACGCAGGAAACACTGTAAACATCACCCCACTACAGCCCTGAAGTGTTTATGACCTACACACTGCTCCTGAGCACCCTGCAAATGCAGCCACTGCTCCAGCACACGCAGCTCTGCTGTCCTGCTGCCGTGAGCACAAACCGCTTCCAGGGCCCCACGTCTGGAGCAGGGGCAGCTTCCGACCCAAATGCCCAGCCTGACAGCCTGTCCAAGCCAAACAGCTCCGCTCGTGACTGCAGCCAAGGGTGTCATTCTGTCACCCATCAGATCGGACCCCGCCTGGAGAGCTCGGGGCTGGCTCTTACCAACACGATGTGGAAGCGTTTTCTGAGGCTGCTGGCTGCTCCGMGTCTCTCGTGCTAGCTGACTACTAGGGGAAGTTGCTGCTTTCTGRGTTGCATAACATCCCATTTAAGTCTGCGCGAGTCGCATGATCCGTGGCTAGGGAATGGCATTCCCCAGAGCAGGGCTCGCTCCAGGGATGCGAGCGCACACAAAGGTCCCCACATGTGCACACGGGGCTGGCAGGGAGACGGCCTCTGTTCCCGGGACAGGCAGCAATTAATAAGCTCTGTTGGCAGCAGACCTCACCCTTGGGCAAGYAGGATTTGCCATGGACTCACCAGGGCTGCTGGCTACAGAGATTACACAGAAATAATTACGAGAGGTTCCATTTGGCTCAGAGAAAAATCTTGCTGTGGTTTCAACGAGCCTGCCGGTCCCCCCATCCCATCGGTGCCCACACGAGGCCACAGCCCATTGCACACCGAGGAGATCAGGGTCCTGCAGGGCAGGCAGGAGGTCTCATTGCCACGAAGGGAGAGCTCAGCACACACGACCAGCGTGGCTCTGCTAGCAGGGCTCCCTCACCCTACAGCCATCACTAGCTCAGCCACATCAGACTTACCCGGCTAGATGTTTGCCCAGTTTCACTTTGAGGGCAGTCAGGCCACAATGAAAGAACTAAACATCCCCAACCTACAGAGGCTGATGAAAGTAAGAGATAGAGCCAGTTTAAACACGCACGTTACATATCCAACCAGTGTGGGGAGCTTCATTTAGCCTTGTCCATCTTTTCCAGGAAACTACTTCACGTCGTAGGCCAGGTAGCTCAACCACCCCAAAGTCCAACAAAGACAGCTTATTCCARACACCTCCCACTGCACGACTTGAAGATGCCTTCCACTGGGCTAAGCAGCACCCCACGACTTTGGCTGCAATAACCAACAATTAAGAGCCTTCCAGGTCTCATTACAAGCCTCTCACCTTAAGCCCAGCGTGGCAATAACCAGCTATAGGGTGGTTTGGTTCCCATCCTACTCCACCGTTGCCACATCTCATCGTGGGTCTGTGCTGACTTTGCCAGCCTTGTGCCTCAGGGCTGCTGGTTTCCTGCTTTAGTTTCACGGGCCTCACTAACCACACATCCACCTCTGCCTTTGGGCCCCGTGTTCCCAACGTTGCCAGACTTGTTTGAAACCAACTAAGCTGACCAAAAGCTCAGCAAGTCTGAACCGAGCCTGCCTGACCACTAGTCTTATTTCAATCTGGGCTAAAACCTGCAGCTCTGTCACCGGGTCCATGTTTTCATCTAGGTTTACAAAGGTTTAGAGTACTCAAGTCACAGGTTTTCACTTACAAAAGAGAGTCTTGACACCAGTATTGCTGTTAACACCTTCTAAGGCACAATCAACAAGGGTTAATGTGTGGCAGCCGTGTATTTTGTAATCTGCTAGTAAAAGAAATCGGGGTGCAAGGGCATTTAAGGGTACAAACAAGATTATATGGAGCAGTTTGGGGTGAGGTTTGCTGTTCATTTCCACTCTGGAAAGCTGTGGAGAGAGCAGCTGGTGAAATGCCATCGGCTGAGCAAACACTGCACTCCCAGAACAGGCGGTGGGGGATGCACCTTACAGAACTAGTCRCTCCTTCCCAACAGCAACTCAGAAAATAAGCTCTGTAACCTCATGGTTAAATTTGTTATATCCATTTGACTTCAAAAACTGCCTTTTCTCCCCCTCCACAGGAAATGCAAGCCATGCTACTAAGAAAATCACATCTGCCCTAAAGAAGGCTCTTTATCACAAGCTACAACTTCTAAGGATGGTCCAGACAACTCAGAGCATGTGGAAATCATATGATGAGGCACCTGAATGAGCCCAAAACAGAAGTGCCTGAAACCCTAGCTGTTTACAGAGGTAGGCAGCCAACACAAGCCAGGAGTTTGGATGTTAACAGTGCTTGCAAACCCAGACATTACAGGGAAGGGCTGCTGCACAGAGCCAGAAGTGAGAAGTCATTAATTTTGTAGCAACAAGTTCAACCTACTTCCTACCTGCCAAGCAATRGGTATGGCGAGACACAGGCAACCAACAGAGGGGGATCCAATTAAGATTTAAAACCAACAARGCATATTTACAAAGAAGGTAGTTTCAAAGAGATGCTTGAAAGTCACTTAAAAAAAGGCACATTCAAGTTCCTCCCACTGTCCAGGGGGCTTCAACACTTACTTTCGAAGGATGATGACAGCTCTTCTCTCCTTGATGTCCTGTGGTCGAATACAGTGTGTAATTTCATCAGCCGCATAGCCACTGTCAAGGAAAACAAAAAGCCACTGTGAGCAGGATGACAACCAGAGGCAGAAAGTGGTTGCCAGCCTTGACAACTCCGTTTGGCCAGTCATTTCCTAGCTCCCACCATGAATTCCTATTCCAAATGCTGCACAATTCCTTCGCTGTGCAGTAGCCAGACGTGCAGGAAGAAAGAAACTTCAGGAAAGAATGAGGACAGTCAGGCCTTCTGTCTCGGGGTTTAATATTTTTCTTTTTTCACCTACCACATCATTGTTAATTAAAACATGGAGAAAACAAGCTTATGAAATGTAAATTCAGTCAATTCATTTAGGGACACTTTTATGTTGCTCCAAAGGATCTCCTCACAAGTGTCACCAAGATAAAGTCATTTATTGTCATTAAGGGGCACAGCATGGCCAGACGGGTACTGGAGCCATTAGACCCCGCCACAATCTGAACCCACCGTGGTGCCCACAGCAGACAGGAGAGGGTTTGTCCTTGGTTTCAGGCCTGCAAGCCAAGCTGCACCTCTGAAACCTGCACGCCCCAGAGCTTCCAAGGGCTTGAGGCAGCTCCTCAGGCTGGCGATTCATACAGCGCATGCGGCAGCACRTTTGGGTGCAAGGGATGCCTTTATCTGCTTGAAATTTCTAGCGGCTGGGGAGAAATCCCAGGCAGAGCAGGGCCCCAGCTCTCTGGAACACACAGGGATCATTTCTCCCGGCTGCCTCTTGCTAAGCACAATTCCCAGGGCCTGACAGAGCACACAAGAACGCGGCCTCAGGCTCCATGGGAGCTCATGGGAAGCGGCCATCACACCTGCCGGATAAACCCTCCCTCCTGGAGAGGAGCTTCCGCAGGAACGTGTCCCCTCAGACCCGCATCCCCTCCGTACGGATGCTAGCGAGCAAGGTCTGGCGACACGGGCCTGCCCTCTGGCTGCTGCTCCTCTCTCGCAAATCACCGCTCTCAAAACAGACGAGATTTCCCCTGACATGGGGGAAAGGGAAGTTAGCCGCCTTCGGAGCCTCCCGAAATGGCCGACGATGGGAAGAACCTCAGAGGGCACCCGAGTGCCGACTGCCGGGCAAGGGCAGGCTAGAGGCTCCCACCCTGCTTTAACCAAAGCAGAAACCGGGTGTCCCAGAGAGCTGCCGGTTGCGGATGGAGCTTCCCGCGGGCAGTCCCGCCTCGCACCGCGGCGGGGACACGTTTCACTTGGGAGACCAGCCCTCGAGCTCGGCAGTGCCTCCGGACACTCTTTCCTATCGGGAAGGCTCTGCTCTCGCGGCTCTCCCCACCCGCCGGCCTGAYGGGGAAGCCGCTGTTTGCGGGAGGCTGTGCTGCCGCCGAGCCGGCATCCCGGGATCGCGGTCGCTGTTGCCGCCATCCCCCCGGGACACCTGGGGCTGATCACAGGTCCCTCCTGGGCGTGGGACCGTGTTCCCTTTATCTGCTTAGATAACTCACCCACTCACCTAGAAATGCACCTGCACTCACTCCAGGACAGATTTACTGCTCGGAGAGGAGAGGTAAGCATCTAAGGGCTGACAGTTAAACAGGGGGATGTTGCCCTTCTCCCCCATGACACTGCAGAACAAGACAGTGTTACGCAMAGGGGGTTATCATAACGCTCTATTATGTTCCAGAAACCTCTGCGTCAAGCTCCAGCAAATTCATGAATATCCCCCGYGTTAACATTCACCTCGACGTGTCCTCAGGGACACCCTGAAGCTCCTCGAGACCCACGCTCTGCAACGCGACGTGTCAGCCAAGCCCCACATTCTCTCCCCCCRGTCTGGAGCCTCCTTTCCAGCTCAGTTTCCAACCAATGTTAAACGAAACCTGTGGCCCACACGCACGTGGCTGGTACCAAAGCCCCTCACGGGCACCCACCAGGCAGCCTCCATGTCTCCCTTTGAGGAGAAAACTCAGTTTGTGCTGTGTCAAACACACGACAGGGTCCCACCGCACGGTCCTGCCACCRCATGGGCGCCAGGCACGTTCTTTTGTCACATCCCCTTGCTCAGCTCCGTGCCAGCATAAACTTCTTGTCTGCCACCTGGCCTCGGCACACACGGACGATGGCCAAGTTCACAGGGCAAAGAAACAGAGATTACGTTTTTGCCCAGAGAACAAAAGCAAAGGGCAGGATGGGGGGTGACTGAGGCTCCCTTAAGGAAAACCCTAAGCATACTTCTTATGAACACCTGAGTAGGACGTTTCTGACATGCAGAGCATTTTCCGGATGAGCAGGAGAAGATGCAGGGGTGTCCACAAGCTTTTGCTAGCAGCCCAGCCAGCATCAGTACCTCCTATCTAACCTGCTGGACCTTTCACCAGCAGCCCCCGCTCCAGGAGGCCCCTTTCTCTGCCCAGAACAGCTCATCTGCACTGGCACACACAGAGCTTCCTCTGTGCCGAGGCACCTACAGYTTTTTCTGAGGGTTCAGACTTTTCCAGAAAAGTGCCTAATGCAGGCAGGTGTGGAGATATCCCCCTCTCTGGGAAGAAAGCAGGCTCATCCTCCAGAGAGCGCAGCCAGCTCTGATTACACCATCAGGCATCCCTCTAGACACCAGGAGACACAAACATCACGATGGTTCCACTGCTATTATAAGCAACGGGGAGTAGATCTGTTTTCTTCCTAGAGTGCTTACCAGCTTCGGAAGAAAACTCCATATGGTGCACAAGCTCCCAGAACATCAGGAATTTCACCTTTGGTAATTTATTCCGCTGCCCGACTGCAACCTAATCAATTATTTCCAACCACGGTGCCAAGAATGCAGCCTTCAGCAGTTAAACAAAAGCCCAATGGCTCCAAAGACCTGTTCCCTACAGCAGTGGCCACAGGACATGGTCCAGCACAGCGTAATCTCTCTGAAACTGTGTGCCCCTGGGTGCCTTTGGGTACTCTTCACTTCTCTTTTCTGGGAGCAGCAATACTAAACAGTAGTTTGAGATCTAAGGAAGATTTGACAGCAAGTTTGATACAGGTTCAGTGCTTGCAAACACCACAGGCTGTTTAACAAAAAAAGAAAAACACTCCTGTTTACTCTGRGGTTTAGCCTGCAGCATCCTTTATACATGTGCCACAAGGCATTTTACTGACGACTGGTATTCTGTCAGGGAAAAACCTGAGCCTGTCCCTGAGGGGACAGAGGACATAGAGCTAYGGGAGGAGCACAGCGCGTGGGGCTGCAGGCAGCAGCAAAGGTGGAAGGATGATTTTGAATAGAGGACCAGGACACACACCCTGCACAGAGCTGGAGACATGGGCAAGGAGAGGGGCAGCACTGCCTTTAGCAGCTCCTCACAGCAGCAGAGCAGCTGTGGCTACCCTGGCTTCCCCAAAAAGGAGCTGTGCCAGGAGCAGCCACTGCCCCAGCAACACTGGAATCAGACATTGCACACATGCCATTTCTATCTGCGCCGCTTCCGATCTCCAGGGCAACTGCCTGCAGCAACTGTTTACTGGGAGGAGAAAGAGCCAAGTTTGGAGAGTTGACTTAAACACCACCAAGAGCTCCATACCAGACACACAGCACCGAGAGCCTATGGAAGGGCTGCCGGGCTCCCCTCTGCTCTCCTGGGATCTCTCAGGTTAGAGGYGGGTCAGGAGATGCCTGGAGTTGAGGAACTCCTACCCAGCCAGGATCATATCAGCGCAAAACAATCACTTTGGCAGAATCTCTCTTAAGTGAGTGCTAAGTATCTGTTAACCGCTGCACTGAAATTGAAATAATCTGCATTTTAAAGTCTATTATTTGCTGGAAAAAAGAACATCTTGTTGTAGATTAGGCTAGTGGGTCAGTCAAAAACAATAGTTCTATTTAGGCATTAAAATATATATATATATATATATTTATTTATGATTGCCTTGCACACTAATAAACTGATTATGACACCCACATAGCACTGGCACAAACCCCACCCCGAAGGTCAGGAGGAAACTCCTCTCCAATTCCGGGAAGCTTCAGGCAACTTCCTTGCTCTTCCCAGTGTTCTGGGTAAGGAGTGAGGATAAGAGATCCGATAACAGGCTTATCTTGTTCTGGAGCAGAGGAAAGGGCCTGGYACTCTTACCCAAACTGTGGCTACTCTGCTGCTAAGTCTCAATCCGCCCTCAAAGCTAAAGGCCGGAAAAGTTTTCTTAGTTATGCTGCGAGTCAGACTACGGACGTGCCCCTGCATTAACTGCTCTGCCAGAACGCTCCGAGGCAGGAGAATATCCTCACTGCTGCAAAACAACCACTGCAAGGACAGAAAGTACCACTMGTTAGTTACTCACAGCCACCTTGGGAAAGGCAGGCGTTCAAACCTCTCCCAGGGAGAAGAGGGTACAAAGTTTTCCTCCTCGTTTCTAAGGGGAAGTTGTGGACCAGAACTGGGAGCCTGTCTGCAGCAGGCTCCATCTCTGGAGTCAGCAAAATGACACATCACGTTGCTCCCTCCCAGCCCTGTTTTATGAAATCAGTTCTTGACCTCTGCCCTTCTCCAGCACCCACCAGGCCCAGCCAAATTCACCAGGGGAAGAGTTCTTCAGCTTCATATGTGAGCTCCTCTTGCTCACGTATCCATCTGCAGTCCCGCTCACCCCTCACTAGTCTAGACAAGTTACCTAATGCAGGGGGTACTGCAAGGATTAGTTAATGTTTGTGCAGCTTTTCAGAGATAAAAGCTACGCGAGATCTAAGCATTTATTATTGATGCACCAGTCAACGGTGCAACGGTGTGCGTATGCGGGGGGGAAAATTCCTTCCCGAACCCTGCAGCGATCACTTTACAAGGCAAACACAGGATTGTGTTACGGCCAGGGAGCCCTGAAAACTGGCCTGGACATTTCCCAGTCAGGGGAAAAAAAAATAGATATAGTTGATAGTTCAGAGCACTGTTGGCAGAGCTTGGGCTATCCGTGCTCCTGGCAGGGAACGCTCTGACCTTCAGGACACCAGGGACCTGTGCTCACCAAGCCAGGCAGCCTTAGCGTTGGGTTTCTAGACCTCCATAATACCTAAAATCCCATTTTTCTTTTCCTCAAGGCCACGCAGAGCAGCCTGCCCCCCTACCTGCCTGCGAGCTCAGCCTGCACAGTGACTACCGGCACGACCAGGGAGACGGAGGGGATTAGGACACCGGTGTTTCCAAGTGCCAATCCCAGCTTTACTACCAGCTCGCTGCATGACCTTGGGCAGGTCATTCCACCTCTACAGCTCTTCCCCTGCGTGTAAGAACAGGCGTAATTCCTTGTACCTGCAACCAACACACACGGTTGCTGTGCCCTCTTTGTACGGCACTTCCAAGGGGCTGTCCCACAAGGCTCTGCACTCGGATCTCCCACAAGCGACCCACAGGTGAGGATTTAACATTCCCAATTTGCAAATCAGGAAGACCTGGCCGTTCACGCTTCCCTTCTACACTTAAGGTCACATCAGGAGTCGACGACCACGTAGCTAAGAATAGAACCCAGGAGCCCTGTCTCAATCAGCTGCTCCACTGCGACCGCTCTCGGGCACAGGATCCATTTTGTGTCTCGATGCTCGTTTTAACTGTTTACGGGAACTAAAAGCAAAGCTCAGCTCCGCACGTGGCCACGTGCAGACCACAACCTGCATGAGCCCCCTGGAGAGGGGATCACCTCTTCCCCCCCATCCCCATCCACCACGGGATTCTCCCTCAGCCTTTCTGCTGCACAGGGACCCCGCACACCTACGGACAGGCGGATCGTGCCGGAGCTGCCGTCGGAATGTGCATCCATGTGTCTCGTGATCCGCGTTACACAACCAAGTCTCAGCACATTAGCTAAACAGAGGCCTCGGCACCGCGGCGAGTTACCTGAGCACTGTGACGCTTCCTCTCTTCACCGGCAGGAACAGAACCGGCTCCGAGACCCTGATGGGCTTAAACTGGAACTTACACCCGAAGCAGAGCGCGGAGTCGCTGAAGAACGACACGGAGACGATGGGCCTCTCAAAGATATGGATGGGGTCCACGTGGGAGACAATGCAGCCCCCGGGCTGGTAGTCGTTGATCACAGCACTGTTCACAAAGCCCTCGGGGATCACCCTGTGCTCCACGAGCTTGCGGATCACCAGGTCGTGCACCCACTCCGGGATGGCATCCACCTCCCCCCGYGGGTAGAGGCGCTCCTGGCCGGGCCCCCGCCGCTGCAGCTGAGACCCGTACGTGTAGCCCTCCCCAAAGAAATACTTGTTCCGAAGAGGCGCTCGATCCACGGTGTGCTCTTTGTAGAGCCCCTTCTCAGCCCTGGACACCACGTCCTCGATGCGGGCTTCGATCTTGGCACACTCCTCCGTGCTGAAGAGACGAAGCTGGCGGATGCCGCTTTTGACTTTCCGGGCCTCCTCCTCCTCCTTCTGCTCCTCATAGTCACTGGGCTCGGAGTCGGAGTCCTCGTGGTACCGGCGCTTGCGCTCGTAGGAGGCCTCCGTGGGCTCCCGCAGGCTGCCGCCTTTGTAGCTGTCCCGATAAGGCATCATGGACTTGAGCTTCTCTCGCAGGTCCGTGTAGCCACTCCCAGCCATAGTGCGTCCGCAGCCCCCTCCTCTATGGATCTCCTGGCTGCTCTGGGCTCCGGGCCGYGGCGGGGGACGCGCAGCTGCTATTCATGGCATCCGCTGCCCTGCTGGAAGAGCCCCAGACGGGATGAGCAGCCAGCCAGGCTCCGGGACGGGCTTCCCGCCCGGCTCCCGCGCGCGGGCCGCGGCTGCAACGGGGGCTCCGGGAGCGCGGGCCGGGCCCCCCCCCAACCGGGGCTCTGCTGGGGACCCCCTTCCCCGGGCCGCAGAACGGGCAGCGCCCCCCCCCCACCGCGCGCCCGTCCCGGACTCACGGCTGCCCGTGGCGACGCGGTCCCGGCGGCGGGGCGGACGCACAAAGGTGCCGCGGCGGCGCTCACGCGGCGG